GAGAGAGAGAGAGAGAGAAAGAGAGAGAGTATATGTGTGAATGAATGAATGAATAAATGAAATGTGTGTATATCTGCAGTCTCCCATCCAATGGGAAGATTCAACGAGTGTGCTGGTTTCCTTAGAACTTTACTAAATGGCTTTGTGTGAATAAACGTTTGGTCCAACTTGTGTTTCAATGTGCATATAAGCAGAGAGGATGAGTCAAAAGGTGGAGGACGGTCTACAGCCTGAATCGACGTTTTCTCTTCTTCTTCCACGTTTTAACGGCGGTTGTGGAAGTTTGTATGTTCTATTGTGTCCTTAAAGTTATGTTGGTAAAAGTAATGTTTATTTGAAATGACTTTAAAATGTGTATCTGATTGCATGGCCTCGACTGAACAGAGCATCTTTTGGAGGATTAGGAGAGCAGTAAGATGGGCTTCATTCAGAACCAGAACCTGACTTGGGACTTCTATTCAAAAGAGGTCACACATGGGGAGTCACCACCTCAGCCACCATCAACTGGTACTGTAACATTCTCAAAACATTTCCTTTTACTGTCCTGATGCATGTTCAATAATCCAAGTAGATAAATCTAACAAGGTTGAGTCAAGTCCTCGGGACAGGTTCTGGGTCCTTCAAACATTGGTTCAAGACAGGAGTACATCATTAAACAGGAGTGGAGGCCTCCGTGAAATGGGAAGCGGCCATCAGGGCACTAACGATCAATCGTTAGGCTGATGGTCCTCCTTTTGCATATGAACAGCTAGTTCAGCTGGAAGTCACCAGCAAACTGATTGATGAGAAGGTGCTGCTTATAAAGGGTCCTGCATACTCCATTCGAAGCGTGGAAATCAGCTCTCATTGACGTAGTTGCGTGAAGAAAATTGCGTCATTTTCTTTGCAGAGCAGCTTCGACCCCCTCTTCTCGGAATAAGGATGGAGCTGAACATTCTCTTTTTTCGTATGTGCCAAGTACTGTGTTATTGGTCAGGAGTTTGTAGGCGTATTTGTCAACGTGGAAATGCGCTTGGACATTCAGCTGTATGACTCTTCAAACACTCTAAATTAGTCAAATGGTCAAAAACTCCTGGATGGAGATCATACAGACATTGTATATGGAGGAGTCTGACTGCTGAAAAGTGGGGTGCTTTCTTCATGATAGATTTGTAGCCAAACGGCGGATGAAGGGACAGTGTGGAGACTCTGATGGGAAGAAACCCATGCGGTGACGTATACTACAGTGGGAGGGTTTTCCCAAAAGCTCAGCGTCTGAGTCTCATGGACTATGAAAGGTGCATGCAAAAACAAACATCCCGCAACCATGTGACCATGAGTCGACTGATCAGCTTCGGATGGAGTATGCCGGGCCCTTAAGACTGTTTGCTTGCATCTACTCAGACTGAAGAAGTTTTTAGTAAAGTAAAGCACTTTGGTAACAGCTGCTGTTTTAAGTAAAGTTGACTTGACTTCTGTATAAAAGACAAAACATTTCAGCATAGAAGAACCCGTCCAGAGGACCTGACACAACCATGTTAGATTGTCTTTTACTGTACATTATATTTTCTCTCAACACAATTTTTGGAAGACACTAAGGCCCCAGTATAATCCAGCATACATCCATACGCGCATATGTACATGCGTACGTACATGAAGGGTTGAAACTTCATACTCGAACGCACACCCTGAGCGGCTGCAGAGCAGCTCCGCAAAAAAGGGGAGTTTACCTTTGGGACAAATTGAGGTCGTCAATTGGTCATTTACTGACACGCCTACTGGATTAATTGACAGGTCGGTGCAGCCCACACATCCGACCAGCCTACCAGGAAATCTCCAGACCCTCCCGTAGCCACGCTGGGACTGATTTTAATTTGCTCGTGACAAATTGACAAAAAACCTTGGCAAAAAACAAAAACAAAAGAAAAGGCCAGATCAGGGATAAAGAAGAGGAATTTAATACATTGGTGTCGCATACAAAACAGTCCGTCACCGGGCAGTTTTATTGTGTGACACCAAGTACGCGGTCGTAAAAATTGAGCTTTGCGCGGACGTGCCCCTGGGAGGTATGTGCGTATCTCCTCGTACGGACGTACATGGGAGTATACTGGGGGCTTTAGTATCCAAAGATATGAGATTTGCCTCATAAACATTGATTTCTGCATTTAAAGCCCACAACACAATTGGATAAAAGTTGGGACAGTTGAGATTTTTGGCATTATAATGTTCTGCAGTTCAGAATCAAGGGTTTCAAGTGCCCCTGTGATGGACTTGCGACCCGTCCAGGGTGTACCCCGCCCCTCGCACAGTGATTGCTGGACATGGGCACCGGCGACCCCCGTGACCCGAAATGGAATAAGCGGGTAAAGAAAATGGATGGATGGATGGATGGGTTTCAAGTGCTTGTTTGTCCCATTTTTATTGCCCTTTCCTGTGATTTAGTGAAAAATAAAGATCTGATGAACTGATTCAACTGACTACAGCCACATTTCCACTGTGGTTTATTCCAAGAAGTACCTCTGAACAAGTTTACACAATTCTTCATTTTCATTTGAAAAAGGTCTGTTCCTTTTTTCTCTTATCAACATGTACTGATGGGAGTAACAGATCCAGAAGGGAAAGCCTTGTATTTCTCTCCCAAGTAACATTCTCCAGCTTCTCATGAGGATTCACAGCATTATATTGATAGAGGAGATGTTTATTAAAACCTAGGAAGCTCTTGGTCTGGCCCTGGGGTCTCTTTTTTCATCAGTGGTCAATGCCGTGGTCTTGTAATCCTGAGCTTGCAAATTTGAGTTCAGGTTGCGTCAGGACATCTGGTGTAAAACACAATGCCAATTCTTTCATGAGAGTGTACTCACTGTTGTAGCCCCTGAAGAAGGGAGCAGCAAAAGAAACTTGCTCCTGGAAAAACATCCAGAGGAAGACATCAAAGTTCATGCTCAATCATCCAGGTACAAAATCCCATAATGGTCAGTCAGGTCATCTGGACAGTTTCCATTTTGTGGAAAGATGTTTCGCCCTCTATCCAGAGGGCTTCATCAGTCTGAGGAGTCCCAAGTAAACTGTTTTTCCTACTAAGCAGTGCACTCCTTTAGTGGACCAACCAGAGTGAGACATTTAGGAGCCATTCAAAGTGTTTTGGGTGTTACTTTTGGTTTTGATGGAAGGGGTTCTGTATTGGTCACTGCATGTGTCTGTGGACATGATAACTTTAAAAACAAGCAAGGAGCAAACTTCCATTTTGGTGTGTGGTTGATGCTAGGCATAAGAAAGTTCACAATTGAAAACTGGGTGGCCATGTGAAAATCCAAGATAGTCACCACCATATATTTGTAAACCGGCCACCATAATTATTTGAGTAAACTATGCTTTCTAGTTTTCCTCAATTATTTCACTCACTGGTGGGGTGGCCAAAAATTAATCCATTGGTCTCCCACTGACTCCACCATTGCACTTGACGGATAAATTCACTCCACTCGCTAGGATCTGTCACTCTGTGCCGCCTTCTAAAACTAAAACCCCAAATAAGAAAAAAACAACTACCTCTGTCCTCCACAGTCTAACTCCTACATAACTGAATATCTTGCACCAAAAACATTAAGGTTTACTTATATTCCCTGTTCAGTTCCAGTCCAGAAAAACACCCATCTCAAAAACTACAACCGTTCACTATTCAACGTCCTCATCGATGGGGAACATTGGTGTACTGCGTCACATAATGATTGAGGTTGTCTTGTGAACCTCAACTGCAGAAATCAATGTTTTTAACGAATGACTGAAGCAAACGAGACAAATTAAATTTCTCAAATATAAACACTAAAGTTAATGCCAGAATGGTTGTGTTGACTAACATTTTCTGGCATAGTCTGGTGAATGATGGTCTTTATTAGAAAAGCTCTGAAGATATTTGACTTGATTCTGATTCAGTCTGAGTCTTGCTGCAACTCACAATAAACCATTTATGAGCGATAGATAGGTTTACCTCTGCAATGAGGTCAATAAATGAACATGTCTTCATACAGGAGATATTAGCAGCAAGGCCCTGCTTTCTTTACTGTGTAAAATCCACATCACACATTTGATCTTTTTTTATTTTATCTTCATGTAACACAACAAATGCTCAGTTTTTCTCTGTTCCTCGACAGTTAACACCACCATCATCGTGCTGGGCGTGTTGACCTTCGCCCTGCAGCTGTGTTTGTTCCTGCTCTTCATGCTGAGATGTTGGAGGTTCGACAACAGTGTAAAAAAGGCTCTCAAACAACCGGACTCTGTTACCAAGCTGAGCGGTGAGCATTGTGACTAGAGTATTAGTGTTTTTCTTTGTTTACTGGGAAAAACAGCTATTTTTTTAATAATATACAAGATAAAGAAGTTTAATTCTGTAACTTCTACTCAGTTATGAGTATAAACATTTTTTCATGTTTAATTTTGCTGTAACTTCCCTGCCTGAGCTATTATTCTTATTATTTTAATGTCTTTATCTGTTTTGTGTCTCTTCAGAGCTGTCATACATGTACCCAGGCATGGACACGCAGCTCACATATTTCTTTTATCATGATGCTGCTGGAGTTTTATCACCGCCCACATCTACGTCTAACACAGAAGACAATTATGAGCCTTCTATAAGTTCTCTATGTGCACCACCCATACATTGGGACCTTGTTCAGTCCTAACCATTAAGGACTTCATTCATGACAACAGATCTTGTCATGAAATGTGCAAAATTATGCACAATACAGTGTATTAAAAACACAATTTTACAAGTCATTTAAAATTAAGAATGAGAAAAATATGTAGTGTGTGTCCATCATTGTAAACTGATCCCTTTATATCAAGATATATTTTGTTTTTGCAGTCCAATGTGTTGTCTTGCCATGTTTCTACAGTAGCTTAGAATGGACAAAGTAGACTGCATCCGACAAGTTGGACACTTATTGCAGCTTACTTTTATATAGTTTTATTTTTGTATAATGTCTCTGTGCTATAACTTACCCCAAACTGCCATGAATACTGCAAAGAAAACTGTTGCTCCATTGTCAAAGAGATGGGTGACCTTCAAAGATAACGGGACATTGTTAATGCGCCAAAATAGACAAAACTAAAAATAGACGACATTTTTTTATGTACAGTCATTCAGAAATGTTTTAGGTTAAATGTTCAATGTCAAACCCTAACTAAAAGAGAAAGTTTATATATTTTGAAGTGGGCATTCTGTAGAAAGGAACGTTTAATATCTGACTGATAGAAAATAGTTTTTTGAATGAGCTCAATGTGGAGAAAATGGAAATTATTTCAGATGGGACAGCCAAGCTAGCAGCTAGCCCAAGTGGAGCTAAGACCAAAGTGGATTGAAAATAACTCCAGTCTCAAGTATTTCATGGTGGTTAATATGAATGCTTTTCTATAAATGTTTACACGTTGTCATCACTTAATTATGATGCGTTTATTACAATAAGAAGTTAGATTTTTTCTGCAGGAAGTTCACCAGGCTAAACCAGAAGTGTTACAGTTAGATACTGCTGCTGTTTGAGCTTGCAAATAATTACATAAATCTATTTAAAAATGTGCAATGCAAAAAGTAATGGTTTAGAAACATAGCATTCACATGGCGAGCTATGCTATTTTATTTTAGAATGGCGTTGTTTTAAAGCAGCATACAATGTTTTAGGACAACTTTGGACTAGGCCCATCTTGGACTAGCCATTAGCTCATCAGTACAGTCAGAATTAAACTCTCTCTCCAAACAGCTTGCTCAGAGAGAGAGAGAGAGAGAGAGAGAGAGAGAGCTTCAAGTGTTTATTTTGTACTCAAATGTAAATATTTCAGAGTTTCATGTAAATTGGAATGCCATGTTTGACATTCAAAATTCAAGATGGCAGTCTCCTGTTTGAAAAGTAATAATATAGGCAGTAATTTAATTTATATACTACTAAAGTATGCATACTTATATTCCAATAAATCAGAGTAGGTTACTGTATCACCTCTTTAGGAAACTTGTTGAATTAAGGTTTGACTAAACAGCACAAAATAACTTAGTGTTGCTGATAAGAGTTAGCCTGGTATTACTAATTGATAATCTGGTTTTACAAAAAAAAAAAAAAACATAGACATAAATAAATAGATGTCACTGAGTGGGATGGCCTGTTGCAGTGGTACCTCGGAGTGTTTGCCATATTGGATGTGACAGATCTGTTGGTCAACTAATACAAGGAAATGGACTGAACTTCATAAAGCATCGTTCTACAAAGTGTTTTAATTTGATCCCTGTCATTCACACACACTAATATATTTGTAAAACAAACAGGCACCAAAAACAACATTTATAACTTTTAACGTGATTATTAAAAATATTTACTCCTTAAATATTTAGGTTAAAGATGAACACTAAACAACATACTGTATGTCTCATTTGGAGCGTTTACAACAACTAACGTGTAACACTATTACTGTGGTGATAAATATAAAAATACTGTATTCATATTTAGCATTTAATCTGTGTCTATAATAACCATATCCTAAAATGTAGCCGTGACGTGGATTTTCTTAAAGAAGAGCACTAACATTCACATTTAACTGATATTGATTAATCGCATCAATTAACATACATGTACATACACCAATGTATCTTTACAGGGTGTGGGGGTTATTGAATATATACACATATACCTGTCCAGTATATATACACACACACACACACATATTTATATATATATATATGTGTGTGTGTTTGTGAATATGCGTATATATTTATATATGATAATATTGATATCATATATTTCTACCTTTCTGTCCATCCATCCACATCTATATCTATCTATACATCCATCCATCTATCTATCCATCTATGCATCTATCTATCAGTCTATCCATCCATCCATCCATCCATCCATCCATCCATCCATCCATCCATCCATCCATCCATCCATCCATCCATCATTCCATCCATCCATCCACATCTATATCTATCTATACATCCATCCATCTATCTATCCATCTATGCATCTATCTGTCTATGCATCCATCCATCCATCCATCCATCCATCTATCATCCATCCATCCATCCATCCATCCATCCATCCATCCATCCATCCATCCATCATTCATCCATCCATCCATCCATCCATCCATCCATCCATCTATCCGTCTGTGTGTGCATGTGTGTAATTTATAAACCTTGTAAAAGTATAGTCTCTTCCAGCTTTCTCCATGTTGCCACTCTGAATCAATGAGGCATCTTCTCCTATCCCTTCACTTTTGCCACATCCAATATGGCAGCAATGTCGGCGTACGATTCTGTGCTCAATGAGGCATCCACATATATATATGGCTTTACTTAAAACAGTTAAAGTAAAATGTTATGTGTTGTCATCATTGTATTTTCCCATCTAATGATGACATTATTTATCTGCATTAAACACATCACACCTGGGATACACCCAGGTGGAGCAGTGGGCAGCTATGTAAGTTAGCCTGTTATTGCTAGTATCAGTTAGCCTGGTGACTGAACACAACAAGTAGGCTACTGCTGTTTTTCCAGTGTGCAACTAGAACACAGTTAAGTTGGGAATGAAGTCATTTCCAGATCTGAGTTCTGACTTTTGAGGTAAATTGAATTTAGCATAATATAGCGACCGATTCAGAACTGTACCACAAATAACCTTTCTACAGAACCCCACTTCCTAAGTTTATTAATGTGTTTGACACATTTTTGTTGAGTGCACTGAATCAGCAGCTGCTGGTTAGAAGCTCACGCTCCACTGTGGCCATACCTTGGCGTAGATGCAGCTGTCTGACAGTCTCAGATAGGGACAATACTGATCACATATGGGACACATGATGATGTCAGTGGCCTGGCAGATCTCTTTGCTGAAGAAACAACAATCATTTAGCTCATCAAATGACAACAAAGCTCATGTCAACATGTACACAATGAACCGGAGTGCTGATGAGCAATACATGAAACTCCAAACTGATAAAACCGAGTGTGTCAGCGTGTACTATACATAAGTTTGTGACAACGGTATGCTGTTTATGTTCTGTCACAATCTGCTGCCTGCTAACAAATCATTTTTTTGCTATAAAAAGCTGTGTTTTTAATTTAGATTATTGAAACTGTACTTGTGTGTTTGATACTACAAGAAAACTATTTCTGCTTCATTTAATGCAATACTATGAACGTGAGTGCAAATATTTATTTCAAGAACACAAGAACATTCTGTCATGTTTACAGAAACACACATATGTATACTGTGGGGGTTGCAGTAGCTTGGTGGTCAGTGCTGTGGTCTTGTAATCATGAGGTCGGGGGTTCAAGCCCAGATTGGGTCAAGAAGGGCAAGGTAAAACAAATTACAAAATCTTTCAAGTGAGTTTCTTACTGTGCTGACCCCTGAAGAAATGGGCAGGTGAAAGAAACTTATTTTTACACATACCTGTATGTATACTGTACTTGTGGTTGATCCATGGAAACAGAACAAACTGCATCAAAATACGAAGTTCTCAAAGTGCAGTTGCTTAGTCTAAAAAAGACACGGCCAGTTTTAGAGTCTCCATTTCTGAGTTTGGAGGTTAAAACTTTTTTTTTAACTTTATAATTAGACCATTTAATTTTTAAGAACATCATTAATGCATTTTTTACCCTTTGTGGCTAATTTTGTTGTCTTGGTGTCCTCCCCCAGACAATTTTGAATAAAGTAGATGCCATTTCTTACATTCTGGTGTATTTTAATGGGTTGTCAAACATCTCTTTACCTTACATTTGTAAACACATGATTCAATAACTATTTTAGAGAGCAACAAGAAATGGCCTGACCAACAGCTCTCCTTGTGTGAGTAGAGCACACTCCACTTCTCTCAAGCATCCTTGCACCTGCTCCAGTATCTCTGTTGCCACTGCCTTCATGTGCTTCAATTCTCAATTGTTTAGTTAACAATGAAAATACTTTTGTGAAAATAAATTGGACTGTCTTTTCGACATTTTGATCACTGTTATCATGATGTAGCCTATGTAACGTGATTACTCAAAGATTTCTCTCGTATTTTTAATAAATAATCAAAATTTTATTAATGACCCACTTAAACTGCAAAACTGATTTGCAATTAATTTAGTTGTGCCATTTAATCATATTTTTGTGTTTTTAATTAAATTGCCCATGACTGTACTTTTAGGGGCAGAGATTTTTTTTAAGGGTAGAAGCAGAAATGCTTATTTGAAGGGGCAGCTCGGATGTGATATTAAGTAGCTCGTAAGTGGATGTTATGTTTAAAATGAGTGTTTATGTAATTATTTTCAGATTACATATCCAATATAGGTTTTATTCCTTTAAGGCAGTCAAATTTGTTCATAACTTTATTATTAGGTAGCCTGAGAGTTACCGGATCCAAGCAAATGTTACCAGAACGCACCATGTCAAACTAAGAGCGTTCCCGGATCCTTTTCCGGCAGGATCTGTCTCATATTAAGCATTGGATAAATGTAAAAGTACTGATAGGTAGCTATGATGATGAGTCTGGTTCTTCCATTAAAATGCAGAGCAAATCTACAGGCTTTATGGACATACTGTAATTCCTAATTCATTTAATAAAAAATGAAGCCGCTGCTTCTCCACGTCGAGCGGAGCCAGTTGAGGTGGCTCGGGCATCTGTTTAGGATGCCTCCTGGACGCCTCCCTGGTGAGGTGTTCTGGACACATCCCACCGGGAGGAGACCCAGAGGAAGACCCAGGACACGCTGGAGGGACTATGTTTCTCAGCTGGCCTGGGAACGCCTCGAGATTCCCCCAGAGGAGCTGGACCAAGTGGCTGGGGAGAGGGAAGTCTGGGCCTCCCTACTTAGGCTGCTACCCCTGCGACCCGACCCCGGATAAGTGGAAGAAAATGGATGGATTTAATTAAAAAAAAATTTAAAAAGTTATTTACCTGACTGGGCAGTGCTCCAAAGTAAAAACACCGTACAGGAACACAAAAAGACCGACCACCGCTGCAGGAAACAGCATCCCCGTGTACCAGCCCAGCCAAGCAAAGTACAGACCGATCTTCTCCCCAAAATATCTCCTGAAACAACAGCAGCAAAATAACCAAGGTACTCTTCATTTGAAGTGGTCTTCAGGATACTTTTTTTAGAAGTCTGGTAAACTGCAAAACCGCTTGAAGAATATGCTCTCACCTGATGAGGTCCAGTGGTTGGTACTTGTACCAGACCCCCCACCAGGCCCAACATTCGTACAGCAAGTGCCGATGGTTCTCTGCTCCATGTGTCCTGATGGACTTTTTACTGTGGTAGCTGCCCTGGTAAAGGTTCAACACAGATACATAACCTACAGCGTGTTTATCTGTACAAATCGTAACTTTATTAAAATGAAACCAATGATAATATGCTGCGCAGAACAAGCAGTGACAACTTCAAAACAGGTGGTGGAAGTGAGTTAGTGAGGTGCCTTGAGGGCGGATGAGCCTAATTACCTCATGAAGAGGAAAAGCTGCCTCATACGAGCTGTTGCTCAAAAGACGATTGAGCCCTGCAATCAGAAATGAAAGACCTGAGCAGGATGTGAGATGACAGCACAGCTACTTTCACAGAGAAGAGACTACAGCTTGAATGTGTTTTTTGAATTCTAAATTAAATGCATTCTGGTACCTCTACTCATAGCTTTTACGCTGTGATTATTGGAAATATCAAGAAATATAAAACTGTCACGAATGATAAAACCACATAACCATTAATCATGGAGATTTATAAAAATGCTGCGTCTGTTGTCTTTCATCGAAATATGCTGCTTTTTGTTAACAGTGAAAGGAGAAAACTGGGAAATAGTGTTTAACAAATAATTCTAAAAGCCTTAAATGGTGCATTTTTAAATTCAGTGCTGCAAATGAAAAAAAAAGTAGATAAAGGACGTACACAGACAGTACTACACATTTATTTTAGCTGATAATGCCATTGGTTAGTCATAAAATGAGACAGCAGATGTGTTGATTATAGTAATTCTACAAAAGTTTGAATAGACATCCATCCATCCAGAGAACGTCACCTGTCAACCACATCTGTCCCATAGGTAGCCTTAACTGCTGTGTTTCAAGCCAAATACTTTGGCTGGGGGACGAAATGTTTCTCACTTAAACAAACAGGTCCAGATGACATGATTGTACCTTTTTTGTTGTTAATTCAAACCGATCACTGTTTATCTTTTTAGATTTGAGCTAATGTTTAGAGTATTAACATACAGAGCTTGACTTATTCTCTCTACAGTTCAGTTTTACCCAGTATCCCTTATTTAAAAAAATATTCCTTACATTGCAAGAGTATTTGGAGTAAAACTCACCCATCTTATTTTTCCCCTCTTCATACTTGACCCGTTGAAGAATGTGATGGATGATGCGACTTCTGGTGGCATTGTTAAAAAAAGTTTCCTTGTTGTGGACGATGAAACTGTAGTAACAGAAATCCATAAGAGTGACTTGGAGTCACACTTTAGAGGCAAAATAAGAGGAAAAATAAAATGCTAATATAAAAACAAACTCACTGATGGATCCTTGATCGACTGAAGGGGGCAGTGAAGCTTTCGTTCTCTTCCAAGTATGGAAGAGTGTCACTGTCAAACTTCATGGGCTTGCGGGGAAGCCATCCACGAAATTGGTTGATGCGTTTCTCCATCCTGCAACAGCAGTTCCCTTAAAAATGGCAACAGCAACAACTAGCATGCAGTTGTTTAGACGACACACTAACCTGCTCAAAAACTTGTGTCGTCGGTGCATGTAAAAGATCTTCCTCCTATAAGTGATTGAAATGAAGACACATACAAAGATCATAGGATGATGAAAAGTGTAAAGTTCACCAAGTCGGCTGTGAACTACTGTTTTTTTTTTCTGTCTTATAGCCGAAGATCATATTTAGGTCTCTTTCACACTGGATGACTACATTATGATGCACTTTAGAATCTACACTAGTGGTTCTTGAAGTCAATGTCAGGATTTCTTGATTAGTTGTAAAAAACAATTTGGAAAACCTCCCCCATTGTGAAGGTGATTGTGTTGCTGTTATGCTCTTAGTACTCACCAAATCTTGTGCTTTAAACAATAGAAACACATTCCTACAACAATACTACCACAACCACACCACTTCGTATGAGCCTCCCCTGCAACACTGGGACTGTCAGACTGCAGCTACAGATCACAACACACTGGGTATCACAGTTGGGCTAGGTTGTTTTTATGACCTTGTTTCAATCTATGTAAAATTTAGTATTTATACTGTATATTGGAGTTTTGTGAACTGCCAAAATCAGTTTCAGCTTTGCTGGGAAGGTGAAAACACGATTCAGGAGCATGAGAAGATGCAGGTAAAATAGATTTTCAAAGCAACCTTGACCACATCCATTCTTTCCTTTACCATCAGTCCTGGCCATGATAAGAACAAGTGCTTCTTGATTTGTGTTTGAAAGTTGAATAAAGGACTAAGCATGGCATGGTATTTATTGGTGTAGGGAGCGTGAAATTGTCATTTCAGTTGTGGTGAGAGAATTACGTGATGGGGTGAAGGAGTCATAGCTTAGGCATGAAGCCAGAGTGACCAGTCTTACTGCAATATATCATTGACTTAGCCACTTCTGTGCATGCGGGCTACACAACATGAAAACTCTGTCATAGCTGCCAAGGATGCCAATATGCTGCTACCACTATGATAAACTACCACAACCTCACTATGGACATTTTGTTGGATGCATCACAAACAATGATGAGTCCAGCTACAGGCAGGAGGTGGAAAGCTGGGACAACATCACCACCAGCCTGATCAAGAAATCACATCAGAGACTCTACTTCCTCAGGCGGCTGAGACGAGCTGGTATGAGAAGCTCAGTCCTCACCTCCTTCTACAGGTGTGCAGTGGAGAGCATCCTGTGCTCCATCATCAACGTGTGGCATGGAGACTGCACAGCTGCAGAAAGAAAAGCTTTGCAGAGAGTGGTGAAGGCTGCACAGAAGA